CAAAAACTGTTGCGCTCCAGTGGTGCTGTGTGTAAGGCATTTAACTGCTAACCAGAAGATTGGCAGTTCAAACCCACCAGGTGCTCCACAGAAGGAAGATAGGGCAATCTATTTCTGTAAAGATTTACTACCTTGGTAACCCAATGGGGGTCGCTATGAGTCAAAATCGACTTGATGGCAGTGGATTTGGGTTTTGGGTTGTTTTTTTTTGTTTTTTTGTTTTTTTTTTGTCCTCCTGCTTGTGTCTTCCACACACATTAAATATAAATGTTTTATGTGACTTAGTACTAAAAATTAGCACCTAGGGAAGATATACCATGCTTATCCTGCGATGTGATATTCCTCTGGTAGTTGGTTGCACTTTCTGGGACCAAGGCAGCCCCAGTTTGAGAAGGATATATAAAATAATGTTGAGAGGCAAGAAAGACAATTTAACATTAACAATTTAGGATTTTTGTTATATTTTTTCAAGAACAATCTATAGTTTTAAATTAAATGTTTACTTGATACCTTAATGGATATCATTATTGGCAAGTTTATTAGAATTTCTCTTTTACATTTCACTGCTAACTAACTTTGTTAAATTGATCACACTGAATTAGAAAGGAAATAACATAAAAGATACTGTGGTGGGCAGAATAACAGCCCTCTGGAAATTCCATGTCCTAATCCCCTAAACCTGTACGTTACCTTGCATGGTTGAATGGACTTTGCTGATGTGATTAAACTGAAGACCTTGATAGGAGGATATTACCCTAAATGATCTAGGTAAATCCAGTGTAAAATCACAAGGGTCATTATAAGAGGAGGACAAGAAGGTCAAATGCAGGAGAAGGCAATGTGAGCACAGAACCAGAGATCAGAATGTGGTACAAGCAAAGAATGCCAGTGGCCTCTGGAAGCTGAAAGAGACAAGGAACAGATTCTCCCCTGAAGCTCCAGAAAGAACCAGCCCTACTGACACCTTGATTTTAGCCTGAAGGGACTCAATTTGGATTTCTGACCTCCAGAAATGTAAGATAATGTTCTCATGGTATTTTAAGCCATTAAGTATGTGATAGTTTGTTACAGCAGCATCAGGAAACTCCTACACAGATACTAAAACTGCACGGAAAATCCATATGAGAATGAGTTGACTACTGGTTTGGAGTAGAGCCTCCAGGTGCTGCAGACATTTTTCCATTGTCTGCACTGTGCTTCCCTTCCATCTCTGTGAAATCTTTATCCGTTTTTAGATGTCCAGACCTCAGCTCCTAACTCCTAATCTCCATGCAGGATGGTTTGTGCTTTTGTGGCTTCCAACATATATTCCCCTTCAACTGGTGCTATAATTATGATGATGTCTGTCTCCCAAGTTATTGGGAGCTCCTCAAAGGCAGTGCCATGCCTTTTCTCTTTTGTTGCACACTGGATGCTGTGTACATACTGGTGCTTGTCCATGAGCCGTGGATGGAATTAAGCGGGTGAAGAAGAGACCTTATTTCATCCATGCATTAAGGGTATAAAGCTCTGGTGGCATAGTACCTAAGGCATTTGACTGCTAACCAGAAGGCTGGTGGTTCAAACCCACCAGCCACTCCTCGGAAGGAAGGTTGGGCAATTTTCTTCCGTAGTGACACTGCCTCAGAAACCCAAGGAGGGGTTGCTATGAGTTGGATCTGACTCCATGGCAGTGTGTTGCGTTGTTGTATGCTAAGATGTACCAAAGAAAGAAAAAAAGAAGCTCACTATTTACTATATGTATCGCTATATTTACTGGGAGCTCTGGTAGCATAGTGGCTAAGACACTTGCCTGCTAACCAGATGGCTGGCGGTTCAAACCCACCAGCCACTCCTCGGAAGGAAGGTTGGGCAATCCTACTTCCGTAGTGATACTGCCTCGGAAACTCAAGGAGGGGTCGCTATGAGTTGGGGCCGACTCGACGGCACATAACAACAACAACAACATATATATTTACTATACTTCATCTCATCTTCCTTATAGTCACTTTCATCTCAATCCTCTGTGTAGTGGTGAGAGGGTGTTTGAAAAACTAAATGTGCCACTAAATGATGTCTCAATGTGTTCTGGTTTAAATGTTTTTTTCCTAGATTTCTTAGCCATCCAGATGGTGCCTGGGTGACTGGCGAGAGGGAGGCCTCTGGGTCTGCAAGGTGCCCTCTAGATCCTTGCTGGTCTCTGCAGCAGAGTGGCTGCCTGGGCTGGCCATGGCCCCTGATCTGTGTCTGCTGAGGTGAAGCTTGTTTCATCTGATCTGGGAGGTACCTATAGAGTATCCCTACCATTTGTCTTTAGTTGCAAAGCCCTGTCCTCTGTTATTATGACTCTGGGAAAGGGTCCAGGTGTTGCATCCAGAAAGAAATGGGGTAGGAAATCTCCTGGCAGACAGAAAGAATCACTCAGGGATAGCCTTCCTCTTCTGACCCAGGTACAGGTACCCTTGCTTTCCCCTCCCACCCAAGTTTGACTGTGAGAGAGAGGGCGAAAGCAAGGACACTGGTACCCGCTGTTTGTGCTTCCTTCCTCCTCCCATCTTCTAACACTGGGGCAGAAGAGGTAGCCTGTCCCCTCTTCCGTGTGACAGAGGCCTCCTTTATA